ATGTTGAAAAAAAAAGTATTGAAAGTCTTTACCCTTTGTTATGAAAATAAACACCTCCATCTCAATTTTGAATGGTCCAATTTCAAATAAAGTTGTTTTCCAATATTTCTGCCTTATCTCACTTTCAACCAGCGAATATTTAATTAGAGAAAACTGCCACTCAAACTAGACTTAAATGTTGTTTTTCTGAAACTCAATTTCCCCCTAATCGATGTTGGTTATTCGTCCTCTAGCTGGTCGTATTCAATTTCGCAACAACAACAACAACAAAGATATGCACAATAAAAACATCAATGTTCTTTATAATAACAATTATTGCATAATTTCTATAAAAGATATCAAGAAACCACCTGTTTTGTGCGCTTTACTACCGCAAAATGTGGAGCATTGATGAGCAGCCATCAGTGGCTGCGGTGTGTTGTGGCAAAAAGGTGGTGTGATGACGTTGATTATGCTAATAAGACATTTGGCCATTTATCAAAAAAGCCAAGAGAAAAAACCCACGGAGGGGGCACCACAGGTCTCGTTGGTCGGCCAGGCCGGCCAGGCCGGCAAATGGTGTGCAAAACACTTGACTTGACTAACTGGCGGCAATAGCTTCGAGTAAAGTCAATAATACAACCCCAACAGCATAGTGGCAGGCCAGGCTGGCAAGGTGATGGTAGTGGCAATAAAAAATAGATGATCCAGCCATTTATTTGGTAGCGGTGCTTCCCCTTCCCTCAATTTTTTTATTGTAATTAATTCAAAAAATTATGATGCACTATTTGCAAAATTATGAAATTAATATACACCAGTCAGCCAGCCAGCAGTACTACCGCACCACGATTCGTGTCCCCTTCCACCCTAACTCAGTTCGTAATGCGAGTTGCATCAACAACCCGGTCATTGCAAATTGCACTCTATGCTGTTCTATCCTGAGCTATGCTATTCACATTACGTGTCAGACTTAAGTCTAACCCCTTTTTAGACTGAATCCGCACTGCTTGTTTAGCTAGTCGACATGACTTCCATTCCAAACCATCCGAAACTGAGGGCTTTCAATTATGCCACACATCTGTTGTTGTGTATGGGGGGTATTCTGCAAATGACTGCGATAAATGCATTACAGACGTAGTGCAACAGGTAAGTGGCCAGGTTGCCAGTGCAACAAAAGGGGAAACAACCGATAACAACAACAGCAGCAGCATAAAAAAAAAAAACAAATATATAGACAGATGAAATTTAGACCCCTTCGATGTTGATGATGCTCATTTTAATGGCACGCGTGTCAGATGCTTAACTAGTTAACATATTATGCGTTTACACTGTTCGGCAAAAGACATTAAAATTTAATTTAATTTGTGTAGTCAATTAGTGGGGCCTTTGAGGTAGAAGGGAAGATTCTTTGAAGTAGAGTATCATAAAAAAACATCATAAGGGAATTTTCAAATAATATTTTTGTGATCACCACTTTATCTAATGGCCTATGATGGGGTTTTAGGGTATATCCATAGGTGTGTATTAAAAAAAATTAATTTCAAGACCTTTTCTGGGAGTTGGTTTTTAATTTAATTTTAATTTTTAAGTTCTATCCATAGCCGTGGATTTTTTACAAATCATTTTTAAGGTCTATCCATAGGCGTGGATTTTTTAAAAATCATTTTTAAGGAATATCCCAGGCGTAGATTTTTTAAAAGTCGTTGTTCAAGGGATATCCCCAGTCGAAGATTTTTTAAATTAAATTTTGAAGGTCTATCCAAAGGGGCGATTTTTTTAAATTAAATTTTGAAGGTCTATTCAAAGGGGCGATTTTTTTAAATTAAATTTTGAAGGTCTATTCAAAGGGGCGATTTTTTTAAATTAAATTTTGAAGGTCTATCCAAAGGGGCGATTTTTTTAAATACAATTTTGAAGGCCTATTCAAAGGGGCGATTTTTTTTAAATTAAATTTTGAAGGTCTATTCAAAGGGGCGATTTTTTTAAATTAAATTTTGAAAGCCTATCCAAAGGGGCGATTTTTTAAATTAAATTTTGAAGGCCTATCCAAATGTAGCGATTATTTTAAATTAAATTTTGAAGGCCTATCCAAAGGGGCGATTTTTATACCCAAAACAACAATGTTATCAGGGTATTATAGCTTTGTGCAGCCCCAAAAGTTTGTAACGCCTCGAAATATTGGTCCTACATCCAACTTTAAGTATACCGATCGTCATATCTCGACTAGCTGAGTCGATCTAGATCTAAATCTAAATTACATTTTGAAGGCCTATTCAAAGGGGCAATTTTTAAAATTAAATTTTGAAAGCCTATCCAAAGGGGCGATTTTTTTAAATTAAATTTTGAAGGCCTATTCAAAGAGGCGATTTTTTTAAATTACATTTTGAAGGCCTATTCAAAGAGGCGATTTTTTTAAATTAAATTTTGAAGGCCTATCCAAAGGGGCGATTTTTTTAAATTAAATTTTGAAAGCCTATCCAAAAGGGGTGATTTTTTTTAAATTAAATTTTTAAGGTCTATCCAAAAGGGGCGATTTTTATACCCTACACAACAATGTTATCAGAGTATTGTAGCTTTGTGCAGCCCTAAAAGTTTGTAACGCCTCGAAACCTTTAAGTATACCTTTAAGTATACCGATCGTCATATCTCGACTAGCTGAGTCGATCTAGACGTGTGTGTCCGTCCGTGTGTCCATTATAATTTGTAAACACGATACAGGCCACAGTTATGGACCAATCTTCACGAAATTTTGCATGTAGGATGGGTTCTGGTCAATGAAGGCCCCTATTGTTTTTTGGAAAATATCGGTTAATTTTTGTCGGTTTTTCTGATTGCTCCAGAGGCCACAATTATGCCCAAACACCGCGAATTTTTGCATGGAGAAGGGAATCGGAGAAAGAATGAGCATGCCTGTTTTGATAAAGATCGTTTTTTACTTCTGTGTAAAAAATGACTAAAATGACTTTGTATTCTATAGCGTATATATTTACTCCTGAAGGGCATAGACCCGAGAAGTTGATAGTATATCCAAGAGGAGTTGGTTGACCTTTAAATTGATACCAATTATATTGTCGTATATACTCGGATGTGGGAGTTACACGTAAACATTTACAGGTGTTTACGTATTCAGATATTATTTAGTAACCTATTACCACACTGTAGGGCGGAAATATAGCGCTGATCGCTTTGAAATTTTCCATGAGGTTCCAGTTATGGTCATCAAGGTGATGATCAAATAATAATTTTTCGGATGAAGTGGACCGAAAACTTAATTATTTGTACTTTTCGAGTCGAAAGCCGAACATCACAACACACGGTGAAGGGAATATGGACAACTAATTAGAGGCCGCTGTACTGATTTTTTGTAAAATTTGCTGACCTCTAGCCAGTCAAAAGTGTGCAAGTATCGCGAAATATTGCCCAATCTCAGAATATAGAATCGCAGAAAGTTGGATTTTCATGGAAGTTGTGTAGGGTAACGTATAATCGGTCCTGTCCGGCTATACTACTCCCCTCACTGGTTTTAAAATAATTTTGACGGCTTATCCATAGGGGCGGAGTTTTTAAAAATAATTTTTGGATTTTTTGTAAAACAATTATTCGAATTCCCGCCTAGAGGCTCAGAATTTTTTGATTTTTTTAAAAATAATTTTTCAAATCCCCTCCTTGAAGCCTTAGAGTTATTCAGATTTTTTTTAAATCCACGTTTGGAGGTCTGGTTGTGGTTGATATTTTTTTTAAATCCACGCTTGCAGGTCTGGAAGTGCCTCTGAAAAAATGTAAACAGTTCTATTCGTCTGAAAGTGGCTCTGATAGTATTCGTAAAAAAATGTATGCTTTGAGGCCTGAAAATGACTCAGAAAATATTATTTAAAAACTCCACGCTTAGAGGCCTAGAAGAGGTTCAGAAATGTTCTGTAAAAAATCCTCGCTCTAAAGTCTGAATGTAGTTCAGAAAACATTATTTAGATGTCTTCAAAAACTATTCTATAAAAATCCTCGCTTTGAGGTCGGTAAAAACTCTCTATAAAATTCACTCCATGAATCCTGAAAATATTTTTAAAAAATTTACATTTGGAGGTCTGTTTGGAGTGGTTCAGAACATATTCATTAAAAAATCCAGGCCTATAGCTCGTTTGGTCCTAGAAAGAAATAATTAAAAAAATCATGATTATAGCTCCGATGGTCCTTGAAATTTGAATATTCTTCAACAAATCCACACCTCTACATTGGTTGATCTTTGAAAACAAATATTCTTCAACAAAATCCTCTCAAAGAAAAAAAATCAAAATTTATTGCAAACTTCATTATTTTAAAATTTACGACATTTAATAAAACGCCATGTCTAATGGCCCCATTTGCACTTAACCCCACACCCCGTTGTGCACTTATGTGTTCCGCAATTAAAATTATCCTCTCAAACGTGTCTTATTGAAAATTTTGGGCACAAAATTCCAACCTCTTTTACGTAATATGTTTATAAGTAGTCTGGAAAAAGATACACATACACTGACACACATGTGTTTTCTACTCTTAATGATCAGATCAACCTATTTAAACATGTGTAAGTCATAATTATCAATTTATTTAAGTATTTTGTCAACTGACACACACACAGTGTGACAGGACATTTTTATGACTGTTACCATTATTCGTTATGGGCCAGTGGAAATGTAAATGTACAAGGATGAGAAAATCAAAACAACAACAACTACGAAAAAAATCATAACTCTAAACCCATAATCCCTTTGAAGAGAACATGTCATGAACACATGTGGAAATTTTTGTTGTTGTTTTTGGTGGGTAGGTCATATCATATTTTCTTACACCCACAGAGGAACAGTGGTTTGGAATAGAAAAAATTGCATTGATTTCTCAAAATTTTAAATGTATCTTCAGACTCACCTTATATTCGTTAAAGTTCCTTATAATCCTAGATTGTACAATATGTTAACATTTCCATGAGGTTAATTATTCGCTGAGAAGAAATTTCTTCCTTACAGGAGGCAGACAATGATGCCCTACTTGGGTGAGGCAACGGCAGCCGCTGCTGCTGATGTTGACGCCGAAGCAGCAGCACTTTTCATATCAAAATTGAAAGCATTCCACATACGTTCAAATTCTTCGGCATAGGTGCGAACACATTCGGCATTGGAGGTAATTAAAATATTCTCCCAATTACCACCGAATCCTTGCATAGTCCAATTGAGGGAGCCGGTCAAAACCAGTCCCCTTGTATGGCATCTTTTGGCGGCGGATTTATTATTTTGCTTTTTAAAAATGGCATCGATACGCTGCGGCGAATCGATGATACAGAATTTATGATGCATGAACATTGTGTTGCTATTGCAGCGAATGGGAACACCTGAAAGCAGAACGAGTATAGAAAAACAAATTAATTTATCATCTTGCTATAACAATGTGGTGAAATAAAAAAGTACACAATATTAATTTTAAAAATGTAGCATATTTTTAGGCTGCAAATTCAACATGGCTGTGGTAAATTTATAGCACAACACTTTCCATAAAATATTACACCGAAGCATACTTTAGGGGGTTAGCTATAAAGTAAGTAATAACGTTTACTATCGAAGGTGAAAAGGTGAATAACCACAAGGTGATGTTTACTTAATTTAGTTGTGGAAATATAATAAAATGTCATATTATTTACAAATCCACGCTTATATTTAATTAAATAAAATTATTTAAAATATTCACGTCTATATTTAATGAAAAAAAATTAATTTAAAAATTCGTGGCTATATTTAAGGGCCAAAAAATATTACTTAAAAAATCGACGCCTTTTTGTGAAACTATCGATAACGACAAAAATATGATTATAAAGTTTGCTGGTTGATTGAAGAGGTCCCAGAAAATGGATATGGTAGGTATGTAGTGGAGTATCGTCTTTGGGTATCGGATTTAGTACGCCTTCTTGCTTACCACGTTTTCGATTCAGAATAACACATGGAATACAATTCGATATATGCTTCGATATTATCTCTTCTAGATTTGGAATGTAATACTCTTTGGAAATTAGCTCTTTGGTCTTTTTTACTGAGAAATGTCATGTGCATGTGCATTCCTGATGACTTCGCTTCTCATTACTTTCGGTACAACTATCAGTTCGTTATCATCTACTAGTTTGTATAAAATATCTCCTTTCATGAAATATTCTTTGTTATATGGTTGTTCTTTCAAAATTTCTCGAATGGTGTTGAGATCGTCGTCTTGTAGCTGCAATCGGCTTATTTTCGACGTTAAATTATGTTCATTGATTATCATTATTGGGTGTCTGCTTAAAGCATCAACATGTCATGGGTTCCTGGACGATGTTCAATGACATAATCATATTCTTGTAAGAATAATATTCAACGCGCAACTGATACATATTTTTTATCTAATATCTTTGCATTGCATTGCAATCAGTGACTATTTTAAAATGTATCCCAATTAGGTAAATTCTAAATTTGTCCAAAGCCTGTATGATTGCTAGTACTTCTAGTTCATAGTTTTTATTCGGCGTCGCTGGTTTTCTTACTTATATAATAGATGTAGAAAATCGTCTCATGGTGATTTTTGTAAAAGCACAGCTCCAGATCTATCTATTGATGCATCTGTGTGAACTTCAGTCTCATAATTCTGGTTGAAATATTTTACTACAGGTACTTCACATAATATCTGTTTAAGTCTATTAAAATCTGAAATCTCTTGATTTTCAATTATGTTACCAAGAAACTGGATCTGTCTTTGTAGAAAATTACATTTCTTTATGTTTAGTTCCAATCCGTAGTCCTTGCAAGTGCTTAGAACTCTTTCCAAGTTGGACAACGCTTCGTCTTCAGTATAAAATATCAACATATGGTAGCGCTATACCTTCACGTGTTAAGTCTCTAAATATTGTATTAACATAGCGTTGAAAAACGGCAGGTGAGTTGGTCAATCCAACAGGTACTTTAAGAAATTGGTATTGTCCACCATGTGTAAAAAAAGAAGTAAATTTTCGGCTATCGGCGTTGACATTGACATGGAAAATCCATTGCGCAAATCTAGGGTACTAAATATCATTGCTCCTTGAAGTCGATCGAGCTGTTCTTCTATCAAAGGCAGCGGAAAATGGTCTTTCATAATGATTTTATTAATTTTTCGATAATCCACGCAAAGTCTGTATGTAGAGTCTTTTTTCTTGACTAGGACAATTGGACTACAAAATTCCGATTCCGATGGTTCAATGATAACTTCCTCAAGCCATTTATCAATCTGTTCGTCAACTATTCTTTTAGTGAGGTTTATAATTCAGGATCATATTCTCAACTTTCAATGTCGAATTTTCGCTAGCCATAGGATTTACATCAATTTGACATTCGTCGTCGTTACACACGTCCATTTTCAAAATACTATGCGTCTCTTCAAATACTGAATCATTTACTTTGTTGATCTTCAGACCATCAGACGTAATCCTTATCTCAGCAAGTTGACAAAATTCTTTTCCCCGAATTACCTCGACGTCAATTGTAGAATTTGGTACGAAATGAAATGTTATATTATATTGTTCATTCTCTATTGTTACTTCACCATTAAAATTGCCTAAAGGTTTGAAGGTTATGATGCGTGGATTTTCTAAGGAATTTTAAAGGTTCTTAGGCGTTGATTTTCTAAGGAATTTTAAAGGTTCTTAGGCGTGGATTTTCTAAGGAATTTTAAAGGTTCTTAGGCGTGGATTTTCTAAGGAATTTTAAAGGTTCTTAGGCGTGGATTTTCTAAGGAATTTTAAAGGTTCTTAGGCGTGGATTTTCTAAGGAATTTTAAAAGTTCTTAGAACTTATATTTATACAGTATATATTTAAGGGCCAACAATTATTATTTAAAGAATCCCCACCTATATTTAATGGCCAAAAATTATTAATTAAAGAATCAGGCCTATATTTAAGGGCCAAAAATTATTATTTAAAGACCAAAAATTATTATTTAAAGAATCCACAACTATATTTAAGGGTTGAAAATATTATTTAAAAAAGCCATACCTAAATTTTTTTTTTTAAATAAAAAAATAATTGTTATTAAATTAACGCTATTAAATTGATGATTAATGATTAGGTTCAGAATTTTGCAACATTGTTGCAAATTTCAAATCTTATCGTAGAATATTTTTTTTTGTATTATCAGTCGGCTAGCCTTCTGCATATAATAACAAATGTATGTACTTGATGTACTACATACATATGCGTATGCTGCTCTATTTATTTCAAAAAGAAAATAATTTTTGAAAGCGACTAGAAGGTAAACATTTAGGTAAACTTTTGGACTACTGCAAAAATTAATATTATGCAAATAAATTATGTGATGAAAAATAAAACAAATAAATAATTTGAATAAATTAATACAAATATAATAAACTAACGCAACAACCAAAAAAAAACGTATGATGCAATTTAGAAAAAAATAATACCCTCAAGGAAAAATTTATAAAAAAAATTTTGATAAATTATATTTTTTCTACTTGATTTGTTTTAATTTCTGTCCATTACATTTACGCTTGGATTTTTTTAATAACATTTTTGTCCACTAAAAATATAGATTTTTAAATAATATTTTTTCTTCATTAAATATAGCATTTTCTGTCAATAAATATAGGCTTATATTTATTAAATATAATTTTCTGTCAAAAAATATAAGCGTAGATTTAAAATATATATATATATATATTTTAATTTTATTTCTTTGCAAATTTATAAGAACTTTTTCTTGATAAGATTACGAAATGCGTTTTTTATGAGGACAATTTTCTTTGCCCTACAGTGAAATTCACTTATCAAAAAAATTTTTAGCAAGGTTATTTACGGAACACCTTGCGATAAAATGCTATTGTGTTTATATACCGCATAACAGAAAAACAGCAACAACTACAGCAGTCAGCACCGACAGAAGCACCATGCCGCCAATGATTGACTGAATTTATAAACAAACAAATGTTTGTCGGGAATTAATGAAAAAAAAATTAAAAAAAATGTTTGTTAATTGTTGTTGCAATTATATCATCTTGTAGTGGTGTTCGTGCGTATCGACCAAATGATGACTACGAATGTGTGAAATTATTTAGCAGCATTTATGATCTGGTCACCCGCGAATTAACAACATTAGCAAATCGTTGGGTTCTTAGTTCGAATTTAAAAATGACCATTCGGTTGGTTGTGGGTTGTATGGCATGATATTGGAAAAATATGATTTTAAAATTAATCTGAAGCATTTTCCTCCGTTTTTGCTATAATTTTTATTAACACTTCACGTTTTCCTCTCTGACGGCTCTGCATATGCACCATGATATGTTTGCTAATCGACAAGTATGTATGATGCACAGTGGGAAAAAATACCGATCTAGCGCGCAGAAAATAAAAAAATTAAGATGAAGGAATCTTTAAAACATTAATGGAGTTTTAAAGTAGAGTGTTGATTAATAAGCTAGAACGGAATAACGGTACATTTAAAATAGAATTTTTTTCCAATGTTAAAAATGGTATTTTTTTAGCTATAAAATTGCGATGGTCGTGTGTATTCTGTGAATATATTATTATAAAATTTTGTCAATTTTTGATATATAGTATTGGTATTTAATTAAATGGTATAGTTATATAACCCATAAGTTATTTTAATTTAGGTGTTTCGGGCTAAATATGTGTAAGGTCCGTTTTTTTAAATTCCTTCAATTAAAACAGGGGTTTAGTATGGAGTGCAGTCGAGTTCAGCGTTGATTTTTGTTATATTTTTCTTGTGTGTCTGTCTAGAACATCATACTAAATTTTTTCCTGCGACTTCTTGCGATTCTCGGATTTATGGCAATTTTTTTAAAAAATGCCCATTTGGTCTAGGAAGCTTTTTTTAAGGTTTTGTTCAAATAAAATTAAAAATTTGTGAATTTTTTTGATATAATTCATCAAATATGACAAAACAAGTTCAAAATGTCCATCCTAAGGTTCCAGAGTACTGGGTGTGAGTATGAAAATGAGGGTATTTAAGTAAGCTGCTCCAAAATTTTAAATCATGCACTGAATATACATTTATTCCAAATGTCTTTCTAAATAAAAATTGAAATTACAACGAAATTTGTAAAGTCTTCTAAAATATAAGGTAAAGGGTAACACTTTATGAACCCTGAAAAATATCATTGGTGTAACAATCATATATACACGGTTTTACCTACATTTATGGTTTTCGCTATAAAAAATAACACCAAAAGTAAAAATGATTACAACAAAATTTTCACTAACACCAAACATCAAATTTTACGAATACGGCCTGTCTAGGATTCGATGTTTTAATGTATATTTCACATTTCATACCGACTGGTTTTGAAAAATAAAATTTTTG